ACAAGGTTGACATGCAAAGATTTTGGGATCTTCACAGACAAGAAGGCAGGAAGGCTGAAAAAGCTGTGCTGGAGTTTCCAAGACCTCAAACTTTTATTGGGGTCTGCAGATATGGGGATGGTCAGTCCTGGAAACCTTGGTTATGTGTCATCAATTACTCCCACATGTCAGGCTGAGAAGTTTGGACTTTGGATGGTCAGGCTGGGGCTGTCATTTTTGTGGGTTGTGGGTCAGCAAGACCCTGCTTATGTCATGAATCATTTTGTTAATGTCAGCAGTCCAGAATGTGAATCCTTGTCAACTTCCTTGTTGCTTCTGCCACCATGTGCTGTGAAATATAAGGGGATATAGAGAGGAAAAGACTATTCCTAAAACACGCAGGCCTGTTTTCATTTCAGGACCTTTGCCCTGTCTGTGTGTTTGCTCTTCCTCAAGTATCTGTATGGCACACCGCTGCACTTCCTCTACATCTTTACTCAAATGCTCCTGTTTGTGAAAACTTTGTCTAAATCCTTCCTTGAGAATCAGGCTTTAACATACTCCATGTATGGAGATAGGAAGCAGTTCATAGCTGTACTACTGCCACCTGGTGTCCAGTTAAATATTTTGTGACCATTACTCTGGCCTCCTTGCTGCCCTCTGGTGTTCATGGATTAGACTATGGTCAAGCATAATTGGAATAGAAACTACTATTGCTTCCAGTCCAATTGATATCTCTGATTTTGTCACCTCTAATACAAGGTTTATTTTGTTTTGGTTTGGTTTTGTGGTACTGGGGTTTGAAGTAGGGCCTTTTTCTTTCTGGACAAGTGGTCTACCAGTTGAGCTATACATTCCACCCTCATCCATCTTTGGATTTGACAAGCTGGTGGAATAGAGGAGAGAGAGAAATGTGTGTATTGATGCAATTATAAAACAGCTTTGGAACAACTGCTTTTGGATATCACTTAAGGTAAGAAAGAAAGACAAGAAAAGAAAACTAATGTTCAGTAAAAATGTAGAAGAATCAATACTTAAATTATCAAAAGATAGGGAAGCAAGGAAGAGGACTCAGTCAGCTGCAGTTAATATCACAAGGCCTTGGAACACATTACAGCCTGCATTGCAGAGACTCAGGCAATACTTCCTAGGCAAAGAGTACAGTGATAATTAGGTTCCAGGTGTGTCCTCTGCCAGGTATGTGTCAATGTGAGGTTCAGCTCTTTTCCTCTAACACTTTTATTGGCAAATAGAAACACTTGCAGGCTTTCTCATATACTGAGTCCCTCTGGATAGCCCAGAACTTACCCTATTTACAGCACCTGTGGGGACACCTGAGCACCAGTAACTTTATCACAGCCACGTTTCTTTATACAAGGACCTCTGGGAAGCACAGTCCATCCTACATGATTGACTCCTTCCAGAGAAGAATCATTCACCATAGGATTTGGTTCTGGTTTTTGTTTCCTAAACTAACCTGCCTTTTCTTCCCAGGAAAATATTTTCTCTAGTCTATTAAAAAGCAAACACTTTAGGTTTGGGTGTATCTCGGTGTAGTGCACTTGCCTAGCATGTGCTGTACCTGGGTTCCATACCCAGCACCACATACACACACATGCACACACACACACACATATATACATACATAAACACACACACACCCCTGTGAAAATTTTCAGCAGTTCTCTACTAAGTGTAGTTTTCTTTCTTTTGAACTCTTTATTCTCCACCAGCTGAAATGCCTCAGTTTAGAGGGCTACTATACGCTTGCTCTTCCAATATAATCCTGACATTGTCACTGAGCCTTTGAGCTTTCCCTTTTCTTTACTTTCTCCTACACTTTTTTTTAACTCTCATCTCTGTAGACATATTGAAAGGTTTCACATATTGAAAGGTTTGATACAGCTCAGATAGTTCCCCTTCAATCTAAATACCATGACTTAAATGTCCACATGGAACATTCAGAAAGCAGCCTTAACTCATCAACATTAATAACAATTATTAGAATTCCCTTTAGCCATTAAATCCATGACCATACTCTACGAAGGTCTAATGACACCCTCTAGTCAGATGCTGTTCCATTTACATTCCAACTACAACCTTGCAGCCATAGATTCTCACACTCAGCTCCTCTTGCTGTAGTTGTTATATTTGGTTCTTTATGGTCAGTCACCCTCTTCTGATGCCTTTATTGACATCTGCTTTCTGAGTCTTCTTTATCTTACCTACAGCACAATTCAATGGCCCATTACTTTCAATCTTTCATCATTAACCTTTCCATCATTATTCTTATCTCAATTCTATGTCATAGCAGTGATCTTTTGTTTTTATCTTTTTTTCTATATCTTCTTTCTTTAATTTATATTATCATATTATTGTTGTACTGGGGGTATGTTGTGACATTTACAAAAGTGCTTACAATATATCTTAGTTAATTTCCCCTACTCTGTCATTCTCCTTTATTCCCCTTTCCCCATTCTTACAATAGTTTCATCAGGTCTCATTTTTAATACATGAGTCATAATATTTCTATCATATTTTTCCCACCCACCCACCCTTTCCTTACATTCTCCCCCATAGCAGTGATCTTGAGGCAGACTAAAGTAGAGACATTAAGGCATGGGAACCAAGATCAAAGAGCTAAGAATAAACACTGCATTAATAGGTAACTTGAACTCTTTCACTGCACATTAGTCTATAACAGAAAAACATGCTTTTAACCTTGGATTAATGATTTGCCCTAAATTAGGGTAAATTTCTTGAGTAAATATCTCAAGAAAAACATCTGGTAAAACTCATCTTTGGACTAATAGGATACCTTGCTTAAGGAAGGTAAGTACCTCTTAATGATGAGCTACTTTATCCTACCTAAATACCTTCTAAAAGAAAGGGCCTGCAGATTTTCAAACATATATCACCTATGTCAATTAAAAGACTTAGTCTCTGGAACCCCCAAACTTTTCACTTTAAAAGACTTAGAGGTCACTGCAATGAGAGGTCAGTGTCAGAGCAAATGACTAACATGCCCGATGGTCAAAATAAATGAGCATGCACAGAGATTAGGATCAGAGACCCCTACACTGACTGAGCCTTATAAATATGCCTTACACAAAGACATGGCATACTTCTTGAGTGCCCACATCTCTGGCCTATTGGGATATGCTTTGCTTTCCTGCTCTTCTGCTTTACTAAATTAAACTTCACATCTAACTAGACTCATCCTTAAATTTTTTTCTATGATGATGTCACAAACTCGGTCAGCATTGGTGTCATGAACATAGTGTCCTATGTCACAAGCTCAACACTCCAGTTGACGTTTGTGCTTTCTTGTAACCTCCCTGCATTTGAACCAGTCCTAGTTCCAATGACAATCTTATTAATTCCCAGTCTTGGATCAACATCTTCTTTATAATGTATATCTTGTCTGATAAGCAGTGTTCAAGATAGTCAGTCATACAGGTGTGCAGGCTGGTGACATTGAAACAAGTTGACATCAGCAATAACAAGGTCCACAGTGGTGTCAGGAAAGTAATCATTTTATTTGTGATCATCTCCCCCTGCCATTTCCTACAGGGGCTATTTCAAAACTTCCCACACACCTCAGAATTCCTAAAACAGAACATCTCCTTTCACTCTCTTTGAAGACACTAATTCTATTTTTTAAAAAAAATTCCATTAGAAAGTAGTAGGTGTTTCAAAATTCTGCCTTCACACTCCAAAGAATTACTTAAAATTAAATGAGTCTTTTCCTCTTTTTTCCAATGAAATTAGAAATAATTCTTCCTTCTCCTTCCAAAGTTTGGTACTTTCATCTGTGATCCATATTATAATGCTGTCTGTTTCCTCAGAATTTGGAACCATGGTTGACAAATTCTTTCCAAAAACATGTTAATATATCTTACTTTTTAAAAACCTGCCAAATAAATAAATAAATAAATAAATAAATAAATAAAAACCTGCCGTTACTGTTTCAAAACTCTCATTCAATTAACACCATGTCTCTTTCCTCTTCTTCAGACGATTGAGAGTTCTCTAGAAAGATATTTCCATATTCAAAATTATCTTTCCTGTCTCATCCTTTGCCTCACTGGCACTGCAATTTATCTTCTAAAAAGACTTGAATGATCTGTGTGCTTTTAAAAATCAACAGACACTGAAGAGTTGTCTTCTTGTTACACATTTCCTTATTATTTGCTCCACTGGCCACTCATTCTGTGTGACACCTCCTTATCCCTTCTAAGAACACTAGCCACTTCTGATTTGCTACTTCACTCTCTGGACTACCCTTTGAGGTTTCTTTGGTACTTCTTCCACTACTTATTCCTAAAGAATTTGGGTCCCTTGGGAATTTTCTCTAGTCCCTATTCTATTCAGAGTTTTCCTCTGAACATTTGTCTTTGTGAAATTGTATCCACTCTTAACAGAGTAGCACTACATCAAGATAGTATAACAGATGACAGACTGAGTTAAGCGTGGAAAAGAGTTAAGTCCTCATGTGTACTTGGACAAATTATTTAACTTTATGAAGCCTTGGTTTCCATCCATTAAGTAAGGACAATATCTGATCTAAAGGGTCACATTGAGAAACGTGAAATAGCTGTCAGCAGTTAATAATATGGATTCTTGACTCATATTAATGAGACAAACTCTAGTTCTGTCACTTAGTGTGATCTTGGACAAATTGCATCTTTTTTTCCGTTCTTCAGTTTCCTCATTTATAAAATGAGGATGAAAATATAATTTACCTCATGCGATTAAATAATGGCATTTAGTCCATAAGATTAAAATAGCCTCCTTATGAGTAAATCACTGAAAACTCTTCTCACCCAGCAGTTGTTAATACTACCAAGAAAAGAATTGGAGCAGAAAAACCTTGGCTCAATTTGTTTCTATTATTGGCCTCCAGAGGGTGACATTGCACAGACTAGCAATGTCTGTGTCACTCCTATGATCTGCACAGCACACTGAGCTCTGTGTTCTGAGTAGGACTGACACCAGAGCAGTCAAGGAGTTATCTCATAGTAAAACTCTCTAGACCCTGCCAAAACAGGGAACTCTTGAATTCATATTTTCCCCATTACAAGGACTCAACATCTTGTGACCCACTCCTTCTTCCTGGGGACATTTTACAGAAAGGGCTCTCAGCCTCCTCACCACCTAGCCATGCTCTCTGTGACCATTCTACTGCTTGGAGTGCTCTTCACACTGAGTAAGTATGTTGTATTCCCTGCTTCTCCCTCCACAGAAGGAGTGTTTTTCCAATCAGAAGTTGAATAGAGACACCATCTCATTACAGTAGGTTTGTCCTGGTCCCACTGACACAGCCTTAATGTTGCAGAAGGAAGCGGAGCCCAGTCGGTCACCCAGATTGACAGCCATGTTGCTGTCTCTGAAGGAGCCCCCCTGGAGCTGAGATGCAACTATTCCTACCGTGCAACACTTTATCCCTACTGGTATGTACTATACCCCAACCAGGGCCTCCAGCTTCTCCTCAAATACTTGGTAAGGGACCCATTGGTTAAAGGCATCAAAGGCTTCGAGGCTGAGTTTCGGAAGAGTGAAAACTCCTTCCACCTGAAGAAAGCCTCAGCCCATTGGAGCGACACAGCTGTGTACTTCTGTGCTGTCAGTGGCACAGTGCCTGGGCTGCAGGAAAAGCTGAGCACAAACCTCCTGAAACATAGAGTGTCTGTGACTCAAGGGCTCAGCCTGACCTGTTTTCAGTAAGGTCTCTTGAGTGATGAAAGTGAACAGGGTGGAGGAGCATACATGTGGGGAATATTTGACTACTTAAAAAAAAAAAACCAGGAATTTAGCATGTTCTTTTACTCCTGGGTCATGTCAGACCAGTTTTAAGACAGAGAGACTCCTGTGGATGGTCTCCTCCAGTGTGGATGAACTGCATTCTAGAGTGTCAGTGTTACAACTTAGTGGGGACAGCACTGAACTCCTGATCTTTCTCCTTGTCACCTCCAAAATGCTCCTCGTACTACTTTTTGTTTTTCAAATGACAGCCACTCCATTCTTTCAGTATCTCTGGAAATAATCTCAGAGTTATCTTTGACTCTTATTTTTTGTTCTTGCACTGCTCATGTGTAACCCATTAAGAAATCCAGTTGGCCCTGCCTTAAATATTGATCCATGATCTACCACTGCTGTCTCCCTGGTGGAGCTGTGATGGTCTTCTAAAAGCTCTCCCTGCTTGTTCTCCTGCATTCTTCAAGTGCATTTTTAACGCAGAAGCCAGTGAGGTCTTTAAAACATGTGCAGTGTGAGTCCTGGCTCAAATCCTTACAATAGCATCACTTTTCTCTCACAGTAAAATCAAAGTACTTATGATGGTCTGTAAGACATGATCTGCCATCCATTACATTTTTACAAAGCTTACATACAGGGTGTAAAAATCTCTGTCAATCATGAATTCAATAGTCAGTGAAAATATACCATAGAAATTATAGAAAAATAGGGCCATTCTCACATAAAGGAAATGGAGAGAATTCATGTAGACTTGCTGTAAAAGAAATTCTGAAGAAAGTTCTTCAGGCTGAAGGGAAATGACACTAGAGATAAATTTGGAACATTAGGAATGAAGAAAGAGTGAGAGAAATAGTAAGTACATGGTGAAATACAAGAAACTAATTTTCTTTTTGAACGCTTTATTGAGATAAAATTGATATACAAAACTATACACGATTAGAATACACAATTAGAAGAGTTTGGACATAGGCATACATCCTCAAAAACATCATCATAGTCAAGGTAATAGATGTGCTCTTCACCTCTAAAAGTTTCCTGTGCTTCCTCATTTCTGCTGTTGCTGTTGTTGTCAGAATACCTGACATGAAATGTATCCCTTTAAATGTGCTTCAGTTTACAATAATTCCATCTTGTTAACTATAGGTACTGTGTTGTACAGACTATCTCTAGAATATAAAAATTCATACCCATTGAGCAATAACTCACCATGTATCCCTCCCCATCCTAGTCCCTGAAAACCATCATCCTATTCTCTGCTTCTATGAATTTCACTATTTTTAGGTGCTCATATAAGTGGAATTACCCAGTGTTTGACCTTCTGTGAGTGACTTATTTCACTTAATATAATGTCCTCCATGTTCAACCATGTTGCCTCAAATAGGGATATGCCCTTCTGTTTCAAGGTTGAATAATATCCAATTGTATCAACATACATATTTTATTCATTAATCTGTCAATAGACTTTAGGTTTCTTCTATGTCTTAGCTATTTAGAATACCACATGCAGCACAATGAAATATCAAACCCCTATATTATGCCATACACAAATACTAACTCACAGTGGGTAATATCTTAAACATAAGACCTGAAACTGTAAAACTACTGGAAGAACATACCAAAAAAGGTTAATTATATTTGATCTTAAAAAGGATGTCTTGGATATGACTCTAAAAGTTCAAGCAGCAAAAGCAAAAATATACAAGTGCAATTGCATCATACTAAAAAGATTCTGTGCAGCAATGAAGCAACTTATGCAATGGGGGAAAATATTTGTAAACTGCCATATATGATAAGGAGTTAATATCCAAAATGTATGAATAAGCTCTATACCATAGTAGCAAAAACTCAACCTGATTAAAGTGACAAAAGAACTTAGATAGACATCTCTCCAAAGAAGATATACAAATAGCCAACAGATGTGTCAGGGGAATGCAAATCAGAAAAACAGTGACATAGCACTTCAAGCATGCCAAGGCTATGGTGAAATTGGACCCTGTACACTGTTACTGGGTATGTAAAATGGTACATATTTCAGAAACATTATGTAAGTTGCTCAAAACATTAAAAATAGAACTGTTGTATGATTCAGCAATCCAACTTCATTGAAATCAGGGTTTCAAATAGATACTTGCATTCCCATAGTTCACTGTAGCCTTATTCACAAACATTTTCTCTTTTTGGTTTATGTAAAATAAATATGACTATTGAAATCAACATTGCATGCTGTGGTTTTCAAAGTGTCAAGATACAAGACATCATAAAGAGGGGAAGGAAAGTAACCCTTGAAATTATAAGATTTATGGATTTTTCTTGAAGCAGTAAAATATGCTTCATATAAGGGTTAAATGGTAAGCATAATACAATCCTTAGAGGAAGCACTAAAAACGTAATATAAAAAGAAATAGCTACAAATCAATTAGATGGATTATAGATAAATAAATATAGATAAAGAGCTAAAAGATAAGTAGCTAATGTTGATCAAAGGAGTAGAGAATAGAATGATGATTACCAGAGCCTGGCAAGGGAGTGGGGAAAAGAGGATGGTTAATGGGTAAAGGAACACAGTTGGATGGGAGGAATTACTTCTAATATTCTATAGCACAGTAGGATAAGTTGAAAGCAAGTAAATATTTCAATATAGCTAATAGACAAGGTTTTGAATATTTTCAACACAAAGAAATGATATGTGTTGGAGGTGATGGACTTGGAGTTATCCTGATCTGATCATTGCACATTGAACATATGTACTGAAATGCCATCTATTCCCATAAATATGTGCAATTACCATGTGTCAGTTAAAATATACTAATAATAAAAAAGTGAAAATTAAAGGCATTTATTACCATCACATATTAAAATCTTGACAATTATTTACATGTTATGAAGTAGGTGCTTTACATTTTGAGTTGGAGAAAAAGCACACCTTCAACACTATTTCCATATCAATTAAGTGAATGGCAAGGTTACAAACTAATCAATATAGAAAGGCTGATAGTTTTAATATGACAGAATAAAATCTTTGTAAAGACAAAAAATTTTTGTAGATTTTATTGATTTCTATGCCAGTATTTGAAAAATGAAAGCAACATATTAGTTTTATAAAATAAAATTACCAAATTATTTGCAGGTTAAAGCAAAATTGATTTTTTGCTTTGTAATTTTGTTATTTTAAGGACTATACTGAATACTCATGTAAAAATCCATGCCACAAATATACTTTTAAGAAAAATAAAATGTAAAAAGCAAATGGACAAATTTTAATATAATGTTAAGGTTTAAAATTAGAGGGCAACCCTTGTTCCTTCCTATTATTGCTTATACTCTCTCTACAACAAAATTAGAGATAAGGGCAAAATAGTTTCTGCTGGGTATTGAGGGGGAGGAGCAGGAGGGGGTGGAGTGGGTGGTAAGGGAGGGGGAGGGGGCAGGGGGGAGAAATGAACCAAGCCTTGTATGCACATATGAATAATAAAAGAAAAATGAAAAAATAAAAATAAAAATAAATAAAATTAGAGGGCAAAACAGAAAATAGGTAATGAAATAGCAGACATAAATATAATCCTATTAATAATTAAAGTAAAAATAAATGGTTTCAAAGAACAAATTTAAAGAAAGACAGTGTCAGCATGGATTTTTATAAAACAATATAGTCTACATGAAACATAGATTAAAATTTAAAAATGGAAAAAATAGCTATGAAAAACTAATAAAAGATTAGAAAAGCTGTATTAATGTTCAACAAATTAAACTTCAGAAAAAGAAATATTACAGAAATAAAGATGGATACTATACAATTGTAAAAATGAAGCTCTGAAATACTAAAGATAAAATAGGTAGAGCTAAAGGGAAAATAGAAAAACAACCCAGTTACACAGGACACTATAACCCTTCGTTCTTATAAATAATAGAATAGTAGTTAGAGAATCAACAAAGACACAGCAGACTTGCTCAGCACTATCAAGCAATTCATGACATTTATGCAACACTCCTTTTAACAACAGAAACTACCTAAAATAGTGCTCAGAAGAAAATCGACGATTGTACATATTTACATTAGAAAAGAAAAACCATCTCAAATCCACAATCTCATCCCTTCCTTGGATGCATGCCCAGTCATGATGGCAGACATAGAAATGAAACTTAAGGCAATCCAAGAAAATCTAGCTGCCATTGAGTTCAAGCAAAAAAACAGTATCTTCTGCACCAGTTACCTAGCTAAAACAGGTCATGTCTCTGACAATTTATATTGCATTCCTGTGTTCCGCTTTTGTCAGGTGTCTCCACTCTAGAGCAGGTCATGAGCCTTCCTATATAGTAATGATCTCAGAGAGAATACAGACCTTTGTTTTCATCTTTTTATGGATATAGTCTGCCACAAGATGAATGATTTTATTCATGTGATGAATTACACTAGGATATAAGGTGCTTCACAATGCATCCACATGTTGTCACAGAAAATGGGGTCTCACTAACTGTTAAAGGGAAACATGCCACCATACTTTCTCTGAACAGACAAGCACAAGACTGTGCAAGTCATGCAGTGAGTCAAGCCTAAAGACAAATGGTGAGGCTGACAGAGTGACCTTGACTTGAGCCAGGTTGCCAAGGAGCTTGGAATGCCTGCAACATGCCTGTAAGTGCTGACGAAGGGAAGAGAGGAGTATACAGCCTTCCCCATTGCAAAGGGGACATTTTCCTCTTTACTTTGTGCAAGTGAACACAGTATAACAACACATGGACACCTCAGTTACTGTCAGATGCTTTAGAGGAAAGGATGCTAGGGAAAAGTCAGCTTTTCTGTATTCTGTTTGATCTGTGAGAATACAAACTCAACTTTATTCTGTGGGTGGGTGCAAAAGGGTATATCAGAACTTTCTATGCCTTCTGCTCAATTTTTCTTCTCTTAACTTTTAGAAAATGAATTTTAGCTGGGCATGTTTGACACAAGACTGTAATCCCAAGAACTCAGG